CATTGGGGTTTTAGCTTCAGGATCTGGCATTCAGCTAAAGGAATATTCACTAGGATTATGTTTCAATGAGGATTCACGGCCAGAGTTTCCTGGGAGGGCACAAATTCTTCAAAAGTTCAATAAACTATTGCCCTCTCCCGCTCCACACTCTAAAAATGGCTTCTGCCAGTTCTTAACGTCACCATCATTTTATGCTTATTATCAGAGAGCAGATCACAAGACATAACATGCGGCCGCTAATGCAGCTGCCTCCAACCAGGCCAGACCATTACAAATATAGAAAGCACAAGGGTCTCATACCTATTATGGCTCTTGTTACTCCCAAACACTTGCTGCCAGATCAGAGTTTCCAGCAGGCAGAAAAGGGAACTGGTTCTATTCACAAGAATTTATTTCTTTTGTATCATTGTACTGCATTCTTTTTGGGGGGGGGGGCGTGGCGTGGGGGGAGGTGGGTCTAAAGCATATTCTTCCCCGTTAGCCCATCTGCGCAGATGCCCAGTTCAGAAGTATGCTTTAACTGTCAATCCAAGGACTTTAGATTTTTTGCCCACAGATACATAAATAGATCTCTCCTTAAAGATACCAGAGCTATTTTGTATTCTATTTGTGGCAGAAAGATGCTACTAATGGAATAAAAATCTGCAAATACGATATGCGCCTCTTCAGCACCTTCCATGTAAGTATCTCAAGACGCCTTACAAACATCCCCAAATTAAGATATATAGTAGCCCATGTTGGGTGGTTAATTTTAGTTAGCCAAGTTTTACAGATGGGGAAACTGAGGCACAAAGGGCCAGATTTTCAAAAGTATTCAGGTGCCAAAAGATGCAGCTAGGCGCCTGGCAGGATTTTCCAAAGTGTCTAGGCAGATAAGGCTCCTAAAGGGACCTAGGCACCTAAACTGCTTAGGCCCCTGGGAAACACTTACCAGGTGTCTATCTACATCTTTAGGGATCTACATATCCTTGAAACTCTGGCCCAAAAGCCTAAATATTGGTCAAGGATACACAGCAATTCTGTGGCTGAGCCGAAAGTAAAACCTTGCTCTCTTGCCTCCAAGGTTCATATTTCAACCACTAGACTGTGCTGCCTGGCAAGGACATATACATGTCAAGCTCCTGCCCTCTTTCTGCAGGTTCGAGGCTTTCAGTAAGGAGTTTGAATTAGCCACCTCAGCATGTCTCCTGTCCTAATAGCTACAAATCCTCATTGTTCCTGAACTGGCTGCCTTGCAGATAATATAAATCAGTCACTGCTGGTAGCAGAAAACAAGGCTCTGGTTATGGCCAGTGGCACAAGGAATGTCAGTGATTTGTTTAACAGTCAGTGTGCAGGTTTCTGAAAAGCCAGTTCAGGTGATGGATATGTAAGGCCTTTGGCTTTAGAAAATTAAAAAAAAAAAAAATTCTGGGAATTTATCATTTATTTAAAAGAATAATTAAAAGATGGGTGAAAACAGGTTAAAAAAACTAAAATGAAGGGCCAGAAGGGGTGAGAGGTTCCCAGTACTCATGGGGGGCAGGAGGATGAGTGGCGTCTGGTACACCCAGGGGATAGTAGTCAGGGTGAGGGGTCTCTGGTACTCATGGGGGTTAAGCTGGTGGGGGGACTGGCAGGTGCCTGATACTCATGGGGGGCAGAAGGTGGAAAGTGAAGGGTTCCCAGTACTCTCAGGGGCACAGTGGGAGCCTTCCACTCCCTGGGGCCAGTCACAGCAGCGGTCGAGCAGTCTCAGCTGCCAGGACCTGGCTGCCTCTCTCACTCCCTCACTCCACAGGGAAGCAGACAGGGCTGCGCTGAAGGGCAGGGGTCAGGAGGGGGCTCTGTCTGGCAAGGAAAGCAGATGGGGGCTATCACTCAGGTCCCTGCCCGTCTCGCTCCCACCCTGTGCAGAAGCAGTCGCCAGCCAGCAGTTACCCTCTTGTGTGGAGTCGTGCTGTGGGGACTCTGTTTGGGGATAACTGGCTCTGGGGGGTGCTGGCACTTGCAAAATCTGTGTTAAAATCGGTAAAACCTGAATACTTGCTTTTCTCAAAATCTGCAAAATTACTGGGGAAATTCGGTACAAACTGAATTTGTATGCGTATTTGTCCGAGGCCTTGCTAGTGAATGTGATGACTAGGCTAGATTTCTCAAATGTTGACATCCAACTTGTACTTACAAAACCTACATGTGTACCTGTTGCATACATAATCTGAGCATTTGCACACACTAAATGAGTAACTGCGTGCAAACAAGAACGTATGCTCCTCACAGCTGTCCACTTTGCAAACACAAATGCAGGATTTCCTTGCACAATAGTTGTCTATGGTAATGTTGTCATGTAGCTTTACTGTTATTTCATATTGATATTGCAATAGGGTCCTGGTCACAAAATCGGGATCAGGCCCCATTATGCTGGATGCTGTACTAATACGTTTAAAGACACAGTCCTAGCCCTAAAAATCTTACTTATATTTTTACTGCTGTTATTAGAAGGGAGAAGGGACTGGACATGAGGAGTGCTGGGAATTTTTAGTTTTGTGGGCACAGCAGGAGAACTGGAATGCTGAGAGTTTGTTCCTGGATCTGCCACTGATTCATATAGTCTTAGGCCAGTCATTAAACCTCTTTGTGCCCCTGTTTCCTTAAATAGTACATAAGGATAATACCATCTAACTAACAAGGGTGTAGTGAGGCCTAATTAATTATGTCGATACAGCTATAGCACCTTTCATCCGATGATCCAAATGCCTTTTTTCAAACAGTAAGTAATGTTCACAACAAGCCTAAATGGGTAGGTTGGAAGGCATATACAAGAACTATGTACCTGCCCCTGGAATAAAAAGGAATATTACACAAGAGTTTAGCTAGCAGAAGAAGAGAGGAAAGAGACTGCATGCATTTGAACAGGCAGTGGAAATGTAGGTACATGGAATGTAATACACAGGTTGGAGTTTGGGGGATGCTACCTTTACTCTTACAAAAACATGCCGTGGATTTACATTTTGTCCAAATGATGGTACCTCCAACACCATAGCACCCTCATACACTGGAGCACAGTAATAGTGAATCACCTCTTGCTGCAGAATCATGGGATTTCTTGGAGGTCTCCCCTTCAGGCAGTGATGTGGTCATGCCTGGCTTAGCCCGTGGCAATGGACAAGGTTGACAAACAAAGTAGTATGCACATACTCATTCAAAGGATTGTTTCTCAACATGGAAAAAATTTCCCAGCAAATCCTACACAACAGTCTTCCAATGGCTCTGAAAATTCCTATCTTCCTGTGCTCTAGGAGGCTATTTAATTCTTAATCTGAGGCTTTAGAAGGGGAAAAGACCTACAAATGGTTAATATGTAAATTACCAGACCACAGCTCTGTGGAGGACTATGCCTAAAAAGGCCACAGAGGGTAGTGGCACGTTTTCACATAAGAACACAGCAGTCCCCAAAGAAGATACTGCTGGTGTTAATCTGCAGAGGGTGCTTCCTGTTAAATATAGAAACCAGTTTTCCATCGCATAAGCCAGTTCTAAATAAATACATCTTTCTTCAGAAAGCCTGGCGAGGCCCCAGCTGCACTGAGCAATAACACCTGGCTGTAAACCTTGGGAGCCTAGTGTGTGCAACCTGCCAAGCTGGTGGGTGAGCTGGGGACCAAGGACACCTAGCTCTTCCCAATTAGAGGATCGCTCTAATTGTTTTCAGAGCTCTGGGGAGGGCAATGAGGCCAAGTGAACAGATCTGCTCTGTGCATTGAGCATTTGTTTCTGTCTTTGCTCCCTACCCTCTCTGGACTGTCGAAAAAAACTGTATTTATGGGAGAGAGTCAACAGGGGAAATTAGTGCTTTGTGGGTGGGAAAAGGGAGTGAAAATCGTGAAATATAATTAGAAGTGCTATCTAAAGTTATTGCTTTAGGTGTTCAAAATAAGGGCCCAGTTCTTCAAACCCTTATTCACATGAGTAGACCTTGAACTGCTCAAATACATGAGCAGGAGTGGGCCCTAAAGAGAGCAGATAATTCAGAAAAGGGACTGCATCGGAACAGCGGGAGAGAGTGCTGTAGGTAGTGGTTAGAGCAGAAGAATTGCTGTGGGACGACTCTTGGATTCTATTTCCAGTCATGCCAATGACAAGCTGCATAACCTCAGGCAAGTTGCTTAGCTTCTCTGCACCTCAGTTCCTGATCTGTAATGTGGGAGTGACAATTCTGATCTTTAACAGATTTATTAAATCTGTTAGTCTTTAAGGTGCCACCGGACTCCTTGTTGTTTTTGTGGCTACAGACTAACACGGCTACCCCTCTAATTCTGATCTTTGTCACATAGCTTTATGAGGCTTAGCTAGTTAAAGGATAGTTAATAGTAAATGTTAATAATAATTGATGTGAAGAAGTTAAAGCTCTGGGTATGAACAACCTTGAACTTTGAGAAAGTTTGGATCGCGATCCATATTCTGCCCTTCTCTAAAAATAACAGTAACACACGTTGATATTGCATTTTATTTTTTTTCCAAAATGCCATCCCACCATTAATTGATCTGCTTGGGGATCCTGTAAATTGCTTGGGGATCCTTGGATAGAAAGTGCTATAGACGCATAGAATATGATTATTATTCATGTGCTACCCAGCTCATCGGTCCACAATACTTCCCGTGGATGAAGTACAAGGGAACTGAAATCCATGCACTCGCGCACACAACCTGAGGCCAGGGAGTGGAATAGTTGCAGCACAGGTTCCATAGCTGCTAGCGCAGCCCCGAGGCTGGAGTAGTGGCCAGACCCCTGCATATCACTTATTCAGATGTCAGAGCGAGCGGATCCATGTAAATGTATATAGCCCCTCTCTGCCAAATCATGTGAGCTTAGGGCACAGAACCCTTCTGGCATTAGGCATTTGCTGGTGGTACCGGTTGTGAGCCTTTGGCAGTGGGAGGGCTTCGCAATTCTCTTCTGAACCAAGGTAAAATTAACCAATAAGAGTTTATGCCCTGAGATTTGATTGTCCCTATTTTAGAACCACATTCTGAGAGGGGCGGACTTCGGAGTTCAACGGATTGAGATGAGCTCAGCACCTTCCAGGATTTCAAAAGTGGCCACTGAAACGGCAAATGCAATGATTCACATCTGAGTTTTTGCTGGTGCAAACTGCATCTGCATAATACCCACATGCAATCTGCATGTACAAAATGGAAGGTTCAGATATGTGAAAATGGAGGTGAGTAAAAGTGAACCTGCAATTTTAGAGGCTGATTTTGCAAATGTGACACCCAAATGCTGAATTTCTTTAACTGCCACATATTATATTACGTATCATTTCCTTTGTATTTTTGAATGCCTCTTTGTGATAATGGCTCCATCCATGCTTAGGCTCCATGATCCAGACAAGCCTTGACCTCTCTGCTGCGACCATCAGCTAGTGCCAGGTCAGCTATGAGGGTGGGTTCTGTGCTGTGGACATCTGTCCACTGGGAACTGTACTAAGACCAACAATTCATTTCACAGGCCTCTGAATAATCGTCAGACAGTAATAATGTGCAGTCATTACTGATCTGAGTAAGACTAGCACTGGCAACATGGAGCTGAAAGACTCTTTCTCTCATAACCAAATCCCTGAATCATGCAGTCCAGTCCAGATAATTTTGATACCATGTCTGTCATCATTCGAAAACGAATTTGATAACATGTCTATTTTTTCCACAAAACTACAGATTGTGAAATACAGGACCGAGCTAGCGTTCAGTAGAACAATTTATCTATTTAAAACAACAAAATATGGTAAGAAATTAAATGCAAAGGTTCAGGAAATAGATCAGCAAAACCCAAGGATAAAATAGGTGCCTGAGGAAATATCCTAACGAACTGGAAAGACTCTTCAAAACAATCATTTTGTGAGTCACTTAATAAAATCACTTTAATACGTATGTGCTCTGGGGAATAAACCATCTAGATCTGATTCCTCTTAAGTATGAGGCATTAATCTGTGGGAGGAGAGGGTTGGAAGGAAGCATTGTTCCTTTTCTTTCAGGGCAATGATGTGTTTCTAAATGTATTTAATGGTGCCCAGCATACCATGGGGCTGAGTGCCTTAGAACGATGGATTATTTTAACAAGTGCAAAAAAGAAGCAGTAGAAAGATACAGAACCATTGCCTCATGTATTCATAGTAGGAAATCCCTCTCAGACTGGACTGAACAGCAGAAATGATAGCATCCTTGCCGATCTTTGGAGCTGCTTTGTTCCAGCAGAGAGTCCCTCTCCCCTTTCTTAAAGCCCTCTCAATAGCTTGTAAATCTGCTATGAAAACACATGGTTACCACTCTGTGGTCTACTGTGTCCATACACAGTCAGCACTGCACACCATTACATAGTAAGGCAACTTAGATTGCTCTCGTTCCGCTTTCTGGGGAGCAATTACTACAAAATCTGAGACCACTGGAAAGACTGAGTTAGGCTGTTAGCATCCTTTACTCTCCACGGTATGTAATGCCCAGTTAACGGATGTCTAGAAATAATGCCTGATATATGCACCGCAGATGATGCAACCTCCAATATCCCACTCAGGAAGGAATTTTAACTAATTAATCATATGAGCTGAATCAGAACTGGTGCTAGGCATAAGCAGACTAAGCAATTGCTTAAGGCCCCAAGCAGCTGAAGGGAGTCCCCATTTGCTTTTTTAGTATGTGTTGGGGGGGTTCAAAATATGCCTGCTGAGGGACCCCAATGGGCTAGCACTGACTCTGAGCGGAATATAATGTATTTGTTAATATCACTAAAATACTTTGAAGGTGAAACATGTTGGATAAAGTCTAAATACTATTTCTCCCGTCCATGGCTAGGCATGTTGTGCATTTCTCTGTCTCTTTACTTTGAAACATCAGCTATTGGGGACACTGGATTAGATGGATCAATGGTGAAAATCCTAATAAACACAGGTCATCGCCAGGGCTGGATTAACACAGGGGCTTTAGGGGCTGCAGCCCAGGGTCCCGGGCTGAGGGGGACCCTGGTGCAGCAGGGCTCAGGCAGGCTGCCTACATGCCATGGCCCCACCGCTCCTAGAAGCAGCCAGATGCTAGCACAGAAACTGGCCAATGGGAGCTGCAGGGGCAGCACAGGCAGCGCACAGAGACACACTGTCCCACTCCCCCCCGGGGCGCTCAGAGACGTGCCAGCAGCCAGCCGCTTCCGGGAGCAGCGTGGGGCCACGGCATGCAGGCAGGCAGCCTGCCTGAGCCCTGCTGCGACACCAGCTGCGAGCCACCATGTTAAGCGCCTCCTGGCTGGAGCCTACTGCTCACATCCCCTCACACCCCCCCTCACACCGCAACCAACTGCCCCCGGTCAGAATCTCCTCCTGCACCCAAACTCCCTCCCAGAGCCTGCACCCCTCACCCTCTCATGCACCCCAACACTCTGCCCCCAGCCTGGAGCCCCCTCCTACACCCAAACTCCCTCCCAGAAAGAAACTAATATAAGAGCTGTTCTAAGGTAAGAAGTAGGCTATTTTGAATTAATTTAACTATATTCTACATGTTTTAAGACTGAAATGTAACCACAAAACAGCTTTAAAAAGCAAGTTTAGTATAGTGTTAATAGCCTCAATGCCATAATTGTGATCATTTTGTTTTAAATTAGGAAAAAGACTTGTATACAGGAGCCCCACAAAATCTAACAGCGCCCGGGTCCACAGGAGAGTTAATCCAGCCCTGGTCATCGCACTCCCATGTTCCTTGCATGTATTGATTAAGAATAGTCTTATGCTAGAGATTGGCTCGAGCCAAAGTTTCAGACTGGGATTCAAACCTCACATTTAGAGTTGGTGAGGTCAGGGGTTTAGTTCAGCCCATCTCTCTTTCCAATGTGGTGGTTGGTTTTTTTAAATAACACTGAATGGTTTTGTCTCCAGTTCTCTCTTAGGGATGCCTACAGGGGAACCACAAGAGGGACCTCTTTTTGTCCTCTCTATGGGCTGTTCTGAGAGAGCACCCTGCCCCTCGTAGATGGGACGGCATCTGGAATGTTTCGCCTCTACAAGCGTTCCCCATCGAGATGCCATCTCCTTTGCAGTCCTGCCCTGTGAAGGTTTGGGGAGCCGGGGAGCATGTTTGTTTTGCCCTGGCGTGGCTGTGACAGTGTCATAATTGATCGGCCCTTGTGGGGGAGTATGAGACTGTTTGTGTTCCTCACTAAAATAGGGAAATGGCAAAATAACAAACATACACAGAGAGTGTGAGTCCACATCGGGCCCTTGGTACAAGGCAGACGAATTCCAGCACTTGGTACAAGGCAGACGAATTCCAGCACAGGCTCTCACCAGCATTTTCTGTGTTAAGGAAGTGCTGGCACCCTGAAATGTCAGGTCTCAAAATGGACATGGCCTGAAGTTGTTTGTGACAGTTTCCTGGAAGTGCCTCTTGGATACAGGCCCCCTCACTTGTGCCTCCCCTCCATAAATATGACTGAGAGAGGAAGACCATCTAAAATAGGTCGTTGTTATGCATGGAGAGAGCCTTGTTCCTTAAACCCTTGGTTTCCAAGTAAACAAGCTTGGGAGGTAAATTAGCAAAAGAGGTTGATTCATTAGCAGCAAGGCAAATCTGTGCACTGGAGAGGTGCCCAACTCCCCAGAGAGATTTGCATAGCAACATGCTTCTCAGATCTGAACGGAACAAGATCTGTGACACACAGACTTGAACTGTTTCACAGTCACATGCTGGCTAGGCTCATTGCTTATCTCATGGGGTGTCCTCAGAGTATCAGCTGCTCCAACCCCACATGGGATTACAAAGAGGTTAGGAGGGAGCATGGCCAGCTAAATGTCTTCCAGGGCAGGGGATACAAAAAGGGCCTTCTCCCCCCAACCTTTGAAGCCAGAAGACATTCAATATGAGAAAAGGATTTCAGATCCATTTTCTTTTTTAAAGCTAGGTCACCACTATGGCTGGACTAAATGCTTCGGATAAAATCTGTCTGTGCAGCTATGCTGATCTGTCAACAACACATGTTATTGACATGTTTAATGGTATTGAATGGCCCCATTGCTAGAATATCTGAGTGTCATGTACTAAATTAACAGCAACTTAATGTTTAGCTGCTAACGGACTCTACATATCACTCCTCGTATCTTCTGTGCCCCTATCCCGAATGAGATCATTTCAGGCAGTGGTTTTCTCCCACAAGGAACAAAGCCAGGGCATTCTTCTTCTGGCATCATTACAGAGGGAAGGCTTGTGCACAGAGATGAACCCTTTGCCTTGTGGAACAAGCCAGAGAGGTGAGAGGGGAATTTAGTCTCTGTGGCCCATTCAGTCTTTTAGCTTCTCTGCAAATGCTGCTAGCAAATTGCAATGGGGCCAATTAGTACCAATTATCATATGGGCACCTGTCCATGAGACAGGAATGGAAATCCACAAACACATTTCACATGGGCCACTGAACAGCTGTCAGATTGTAAAGATTTCTAACCACTGCTGACCTGAGCCAGATTTGAACCCCTGACCTCCAAATGACAGGCTTGGAATCCCAAGACTATGAGCCCTCCAGTAAATCAGCATGCTGTACAATGTATTCCATTGAGAGTGGGATTGAACAAGATGTCACGCTATGCTGCTGCCATCTAGTGGCACATTGGTACGAGTTTCCCATGTCACCTGAGTATCATAGAAGAGCAAATAAATTCATGTGGGTAACAAAATGGGTGGAAATCACACTAAAACCTAATGCCCTGAATGTATTAAATGCATGTGTGATATACAATAGGCCTTATGATGTACAGTCTTTTGTACATTATTACATTAGTAAAAACAATATTGACAGAGGATTTTTTAACTAATATTCGTGGATCTTATCATCCTGGGCCTTATCTGTGTTAAAATTAACTTTCAAATTTAAATTCAAATCAGAAATGAGACGTATAAAGCAATAATATGTTGCTGCACATTCCTGTGGCCTGTGTTGCTAATAATGATCAATATTTAAGTGTCTTGCTCATTGCAGTTTTTTGCACTTTTTTGGTGGGAGGAAGAATTCTGTAAGGGGACGACTAGATAACTGAGCCAGACAGCTTCAGGCAGAATGCCAGCTCCATTCAAGCACAAATACAATTTAAGCAGATGGAGCAGCCACATTGCTCTGAAGACAGCATACCTACATAAGCCACATTTACCCCCTTCCGGTTTTGACCTTATTGGTGACTCAGACATAAACCTCAGCTTACACTTTCTCTCCAAACTTGGCTGTTCCTAGGGCTCTCCTTCAGGACGACCTCTGGCCCAGTCTCAAGTTCCATCTGTTCTTGAAAGAAGTTCCAACCCATTTATAATTTGGTTGGAGCTAACTTGATCTACATGTTAGTCATGATTTAGCAATAATTCCACTACTCCTTCTTGTAGGACTCAAGCACCGGATAACAAGGTACCTCAACAGATGACCCTACACAGAATCCTAGGGTCTGATATACCATTAAATGCTGGGAACCAACTCAGTTCTGAGTCTGGCTCTTTCGCTAATGAACCCTGATCAACCAAGCAGCTCACAAAGATGCAGACAGGGTTACCCAGATAAAAGCTTCCTTTTCAGCTTTTCCAGTTTCGATGGTATACGCAGAGTCCATTTCACAATCTCTCTTTCTTGTGAAAGTGACATTGAGTTGACAAAACTTGCTGAGGACATACAGCCATTTGAGTCAGTCAAGAACAGAGACGGCTGTGAGGAACTTCAGAGGAGAGCTGGTGGGAAACTTTCCACTGAAAAGCTTTCCACAGGAAAATGCTGAAATGACAGAATTGAAACGTTCCATGGAAATATAGGATCATAGAGTTTAAGGCCAGAAGGGACCCTCAGATCATCTAGTCCGACTTCCTGTATATCACAGGCCACAAACACCACCTAGCACCCATACACTAAACCCAAGAACTGAAATTAGACCAAAGTATTACAGCCCACAGGAGACTAAACTATTATGTGCCACAGGCAGAGGACAGGAGGGCCCAAGGTGCACCAGTGCCCAAGGCCCCCATAAAGGCAGGGAAATAAGTGAGATATACCCAGATAATCCTGGCAAGTGACCCATACTCAAATGCTGCAGAGGAAGGGGGAAAAATCCCCAAGGTCACTGCCAATCTGACCTGAGGAAAAATTCCTTCCCAACCCCACATATGGATATCTGTTAGACCCTGAGCATGTGAGCAAGAACCAGCCAACCAAGCACCTGAGACAGAAAAAGCTCGGTGCCACCTCAAAGCCATAGCCCTCTTCATCCAATGTCCCATTGTCATCTGTGGCCATCGCTGATGCTTCAGACAGAGGAGATTAAAAACAATTGTTAATTCTATTGAAATCTCACAGAAACCAGGTAGGTTTCCTGCCAGCTCACCCAGCTACCTCCCTGGGCTCTTTTTCTTTACACCTTTCAGAAGAATGAAAGGGTCCTCACACCTCCCAAGGTGTGTCTTTGCTGCAGAGTTAACACAAGCTCTTACTCAGGTGTTTCCCCAACCTCTCTCCCATCCACTCACAAACCTCACACCCAAGTCCCTGGTGCTTTAAGCCCAGACTAGCTGGCCTGGGTGGGGTTAGAGCTTAGATTCTGCTTTCACTTGGGCTGGTAACCGGCCCACTTTGCAGTGAGGATGCAAATTACTTAAAGGCTGATAGTCCTCCAGTATTTTCCCACAAATTCCCCTGTGCTCCCAGGACAGACAGATTCTCCCAGAATTCACTGAGCACAGCTCATCTTAGTGCAGCACAAAGAACCACAGGCTAGGCCCCCAGAAGTCCTAGTGACACACATGAGGAAGTGAGGACTCAGTAACTCAAGTATGGCTTTGCAGTGTGGCTGCTCAGATGCAAGTTAGGCTAACCTGAGTGCTCAGACCCAGGTGCTGATCACCTGAGTTAATTCTGCAGTGAAGACATACCTCAAAAGGCACTTTACAGATAAGATATCTCTTAAGTAGCCTCCTGCTAGCTAGCTAACGCTGGCTTCACTTTTACTGCCGAGGGCAAAAGAGACTAACCAGAGAAAAGTTTTTGATAATACGGATCCCTAAAGTGATCCTGGGAAGAAAATTATTTCACAGCAGAACCGAAGGGGCCACCTTTATCAGGGTGGGAAACAATACAGAACAGAATATAGGAAAGGGCTGATAGCTTCCTCCCCTCCTGGCTAAAGTAATAACTGCCAGGAAAATTACTTTCCAGGAGAGAAGCAAAAGTGGAATAGTATGAATGGGGGAATAAAGTGCTTATTAAGCACTAAGTGAAGGCTCTGTGGAGGGAGCAGGGAGAATAGAAGAGGTCAGAGGAGAGAGATGCTATGGGTTGGAATCCTAGCTGGAAACAATCCTCAAACTCCTTCATAGTTCTCAAGGCTGCTACCTGCACTCTGGTAGGACTATGGAAAACCAGCACGCAGGAATTCTAGGTTGGTGAGGACAGAGAACAACTTAGCACAAATTGGCCTCCTGTCTTTGCACCGTGAGATGAACACTGTCCAGGTTCTGCTATGAGCAAATGACGTGCCCTTCTTTCTGGAGAACGGGAGAGCATCTAGAACTTTGATTACTCTCTCTCCCACAGAAGCCAATCCAATAGATACGCTGCGCTGGATTGTGATAAACACAGGGTTTCTGTGACACTAGTCACAAGTCTCAAGCGAACCACTACCAACCAGCTTATACGAACCATGATCTTCTTGGCCATGCAGGAGCAAGGAGCGTGAGCTTGGCTCTATCTCAAATGACTTTCTTTATTACCCTCCAAATGAGAGGTATCAGAGAGGATGCATGCACTGGAGGGAAGTTCCAATGCCTCCCGAAGGCATCCGAAACCACCCCTCTCACCTGTCTCTGTATCTGCTCCAGAATTTTTTGTGTTTTCAGTTTTCCATAGAGGCTGATACTCAGTGTACCCTGCTTGTACTCTATCCTCTGAGATGTTTACTTACTGAGATCCTTGCATATATCAGTTTTCTGCTTAACCCTCAGGCTTTATTTCAGCTTGATGGACAGATGGTGGAACTCCCCCTACTTGATCAGAAGGGTCTCCTTCTTCAGCAACAGTCTGCTCTTTGCTCCTGGGTGATCTCTGTACACCAGCACAGCAGTGTTGTCTGCATTTAGAAGAATGCACTGACTGTGGCAATGACTTTTTGAGATTGATCAGTGCAAGATGGACTGTTGTGAGCTCTAGCAGGCTGATGTGAAGAGCCTCTCTGAAACAGTCCATCTTTCTTGCTTTGGCTGTTTACATACACTCCTCCAACACAGCAAACTGGAGTCAATCACCTGGAGTCTTTCTAGGTCTTGCAGGGCATCTCTTTCAATGGGAAAGCTTCATGCATAAGCTGCCTTTGATATTGTTTGCTGAAGGGTGTTGCTGATCAGCACACAAAAGACCTTGAAGAAGATGGTGCAGTACTATGACAGTTCTGCTCAAACTTCTCAGCAGCGCCGGCCCTAGACTAGCTGCCAGCAACTGGCGCCCTAGGCGAACCATGCATCGGTGCCCCCATCCCCAAGGGCAGATCTAGGCTGAGGTTTTCGGTAAACTGGGAAACATTTTGCCCCATTTTTCCTTTTAATGTCTTTTAAGCATTTTTTTTAAAAAACAGAGGCCTAATTATTCAGTTTGTCCGTCCGTCTGTCTCTCCAACCAATGAGATCAGATAAAATAGAGGCACACAATTTTCAGAATAGATTTGTACACAACAGCTAGATGATATTTCAGTCCGATTTCAAATAAAAATGCATTAAAAATGTAAATTATAATTTTTATTATTATAAATCCAAAATCATCCATTACGCTATCCTGCTTTACCTGCCACTACTACCACATCCAATATAGAAAGAAATAAGAAAACTCTTCAATGAACTTTAACTTGTATTTACAAAACACTCTGAATAAAAAACACTTTGTGCTCTTAAAACATGACTTTTCTTGCTTTAAGTTTTGAAAATTCAGTCACTAGTTCTTTTAGATCCAGTTTTCCAGCTATTTCATGCTCTGTTGACATTGTGGCAAGTCCAACAAGTCTCTCTTGCACCATTGTTGAATGCAGATAGGTTTTTATCAATTTTAACTTTGAAAAGCTATGTTCCTCACTAGCTACAGAAACTGGCAAAGTTAAAAGAATGTGTAGAGCTATAAAGATGTTTGGAAAACTGTCTGTGAGTTTATTTTAACAAACAAACTTCAGTACTTCTTCAGGAGTGGAATCTTTCATAAGTCGTCTTGAAAAAGCCTGAAGCTCACGACACAAATCTGTAGCATCAATGTCTTTTGAATTTTCATGAGTCAATGCCAACTCCAGTTTTATACAAAATTCTCTTAACTGTTTTGCTGTTTTCTTTTGCAAGCTGCGGATATCATATAGAAAGCCAAATACTGACTCTAGCTGCTGCATCTGTTGAAATCTTTCGTCAACCGAGTGAATAGCAGTATCAAGAACTGCGAAGCAGAAATTCACTTTGAACCTTTGTTCTGGGTTCTGAATGGGTGTGTCTTGTACTTCATATGAAAACTGCTGTTTCTTTTGCCGAATGCAAACTGGCTCTGGTTCAAATTCTGTCGAAAAGTCTATTTCTTCAGTAAGCTCGAGAGAATCTACCAGTGTTCTTTCAAACCCTTCATCACTTCTGAATGCCTCCAGAATATTTTTACTTTGCTGCAGTTTTTGAATAGCAAAATGTATGTTCAAGTTCTTTTCCTGAAGCTGCTTACTAGTGAGGTTAATTTTGAAAAGGATATTATACCACAAAATAAGTGAAGTCACAAATTTGAACTTGGAAAGGCCATTTGCAAGAGCTTCTGCATCTGAACATGGCCAGATGATCCAGTAAAGGTAATATCATCAGAAATTTCA